CATCTCAAGTTGGCTATAAATACAACCTATAACTTATAATGTATGTCATACTTGACCACATAATTTTTATACCAAGTACATTATTTAGTTTTATCATGTCTAGCAACACTGCGACTAAGAGAGTCAATCGAGGTCGCCAAAGGATTCCTTTCACAAAGGTCGAAGATGAAACCAATCGTAAAGTAATGTTTTCTAAACGTCGTTCAGGTCTTTTTAAAAAGGCCAGTGAGTTGTGTGCTTTGACTGGGGTGGATATCGCTATTGTGATATTTTCACCTGCAAATAAAGCTTATAGTTTTGGGAACCCAAATCTAGATGTTGTTCTCAATAGATACTTTGGTGAAACCGATACATCTCAAGAAAATGCCGCTAATGAGATTCTTCGTGCACATCATGAAGCCAATATGAGCACATTGACTCCCCTTATAAGTGATATGGAGTCTCAAATTGATGATCAAATGAAATCAGGTCAAGCTTATTCTGATGCTGAAATTTGTAGACCTCATCTTTCTGATTTACATTTAGATCAGCTGAAGGACTTGAAATACCACATGGAAGAACTGCGCTTTCAAACTTATGAGAAATTAAAGGAAGCATCAAAGTCTGAAATGGTGACAACTCCTATGGGCATAGGTGGCGTATTTGTCCCTTTCTCATGTTCTGGAATCAATAATGATGGTGTGGGACCAAGTGGAACAAGCTAAGTTATATCATAGTTAACTTCAACAAAATTGGGCTTTTCATCATCTATAAAATTTGCTTGAATAAGTGCAGTTATTTTTAATTTTCGGTTTTTGAATCATATCTTGTCCCAATAGTTTTTTTCAACGTTTCCCTTTTAAAGTTCCCGATATTATGTGTAATTGTTATTGGGAAAAATATCTCTTTTGTTTATCCTTCACTAATTAACACTTTCATTTGGAAGGGTTTATATATGGACGTTATTTATGACCATCATCTAAGACTAAGATAATTTTGATGAAAAATAGTGGGCAAATATAGACTCTCATTTTTAATCAAATGGCCCCATGTAAGAGCCATTTATGTACAATAAACTTTGGACACTTTAGTAAATGAATTTGGACACTTGTTCCTTTTACTTATCATAGGTTTCACTTCAACAAGATTTTCACGGCAGCACATAGGACATGATGTATAAACTATAAAGTAATAAAATCGAAAGTACATAAATGAACATAAACTTATAAATTGATAGAATATATAAATATAATGCATGTATAGAGTTCTAGAGCATTTCTAAAAGAGAAAAATGTATATGTATGTTTATTTAACAATAGATTGTGGGTATATATTCTTAAGGTGTGTGTGTTTATGTCAAGAAACTAAGACGGTGAACAGAAAAGTTTACTACTACTTGCAACACACCGTCCCATATGATATGCCAGTAAAAAAAGATAACAACAAAAATCCCCTATACTTAATAGCATTACATGTATATATATTAGGCCTCTTTCATGTAAAGTAGGCCTAAAGTTGAAAATGTTAGGCATCTTTCATTTGAGGTGCTTGCAGAGTTGCAAGTCGAATTGTTTTATGAAATTTGGCGAGTATGGTCTCCATGAATTGTAAATTAGGTCCACCAAATTTCACCTTAAAATGTAATCGAGAAGTCAGTTAAATAAATTTTTGAACAATGCGCTGTTATATATATATATATATATATATATATATATTTATATATATATATATATATATATAAAATGATATTGTTTCAATAATTTATCTAACTGACTTGCTGGTTGAATTTTAATCTTGAATTTGTGATGACATTTTGTGAAAACGTTCTTTATGAAGTGTAGATTATGTCTATAAAACTTCAGCTTAAAATTCAATAGGAAAGTGAGTTAAATAAATTTTTGAAAACAACTGCGCTTTTTATATAGATTTTAGTATTATCTCAAAAAATTTCCCTTTCTCTAACAATTGATTAAATTTCTCCCTGTATTTATCATTTCGTATATAACACACGTACACACACATATAAAATAAGGGGATCATAAAATGTAATAATCAAAATAATATATTAGTTGCCTTTTATTTAAATGTTGTTTCTCGGTTACGTACATAGTTTGAGTAGAGTTTCTAAATTCTATTTTTCATGTATTAATAGCATTTCAAAAGTCGACCAACCAAATATTAGAAAGGTGGCTGCAATAGAAAACGACTTATAAACATTAATTAGTATTGTATTAACCTAATACCGTACTAGAATCGATTGTGCATATTTACTCACGCAAATTATACCGTGCAACCGGCGCCCATGAGGATGGTGCGCCCGGTTGCAAAACGATGCAACTTCCTTGTTTTTTTTTTTTGCTTTTGTTGTTTAAAAATGATGATAACTTTCTTATTTTTGATCCGATTTTTATAAAATTTATATCAACATTTTTTATTTATCATGATCTTTCAAACGAGACCAATATTGCTTATGTAATGTTAAGAAATTATCGAACTATTATATTAATGAGTATTGGATTATAAGGAAAATCGAATCTGTTTGGGAGATGATAGGTTTGTGAAATAGAAGATTGAATCTGTTTGGGAGTGGATCAGTGGCCTCAGTTACATTTGATAATACATTGAGTTACATCTTTTTATGAACGAGTTACATCTTTTTATAAGCAAGTTACAACTTTTTATAAGCAAGTTACATCTTTTTATAAGCAAGTTACATCTTTTTATAAGCAAGTTAAATCTTTTTAAAAGTGAGTTACATATATATAAACACGAGTTGCATTTGACATGCCTGAACGCGACTTACATATATTTACACGTAAAGTTACATATTTTTACACGTAAAGTTACATATTTATACACGCGAGTTACATATTTATACACACGAGTTGCATTTGACCTGTCTGAACGTGAGTTACATATTTTTTTACGTAAAGTTACATATTGTTACACGTAGAGATACATATTTATACACACGAGTTGCATTTGGCCTGACTGAATATGAGTTACATATTTTAACACGTAAAGTTACATATTTTATACGAATGTTAATATGTTAAAATTACATAGGTAATATTGGTCTCATTTGAAAGATCATGAAAAATAAAAAATGTTGATATAAATTTTATAAAAATCGGATCAAAAATAAAAAAGTTATTACCATTTTTAAAAAACAAAAGGAAAAAAAATATATAAATCCGTACCGGTATACGGTGCTCGCCGTATACCGGTCGTACGGTATAGGCACTCATTTACTCACGGCCACGTCACTGTAATGATATTCCGACAACTACATTTCAAAGTAGTTGATCTAATATATTAAACAATCTATGTAGTTCTATTTTAAAATGTCTAGCGACAATGCTAAGAATAGAGATGATATTAAGTGACGTTGATTAAATGTACTTACCATATAAGTTGACAAGGTTTTATTAACGTTTTCCGATTCATTACACATTTTTCATAAACGCAAACAAATAATTAGCATAGTTGGACCCTACGTACACAAAAATATTCAAAACCAAATAGTTGGAATTATATGGTATGGAATATTAATTTAATAACTTACATAACATGCCATAAACAAATACCAAAGTGGCATCACAAGTTGGCTATATATACAACCTATTGTTGGAAAAAGTGTGTTAAAAGTGTATTAAATGGTCATTTTGGGGAAATTATTTGAGTGGGCTCCACTTCCGATTTGGGTCAGGTCAAAGTGGTTTCGGATTGTCCTTGCTAAGGGCTACAATTCGATATATGGTACACTCAAAACGGATAACGGTGAATGAGAAATTGTTTTTCGAAGTTTACCCGTTGGAATGGAGAAAACTAGGAAAATGTGGGTTTTAGTGTGGGTTCTTTCCCAGACCGAAAATCACAAGGGAATTTGAACCCTTTATAAAAGGAAACCCCCCTAAGGAGTTAAGATTCCTAAAGGGAAAAGCTCTCTCACGCACGCAGGGGGGTGCGAATCAAATCCCGAAACCGAAGAACAAAAACCGTGACTTGCGTCTGCGGGCGACCTGTACACACGAATGCCGTCCGAAAATCTATCTTCTAAAGATAACGTTAATTTTTGTTCTTCCGGTACCTTCCTACTTTAATTTTTGCTGCCATTGATGTCCCAACGTTCATATGAACGTTTTGGGTTGTTTAAGGACTGGAATCAATGCCCAACGTTTAGGACATTGATGTCCAACGATCATAACCCTTAAACAGCCATTAACACACCTTAATCCACCCCTATGAAAGGCTAGTAGGTGCTTTGCAAAGACAACCTTTCATACACTTCGTTCACGTATTTTCATAGCTAAAACAGCACCTCTAGCACTCCATACAAACTCCTTCGGTGTTCTGCTTTTGTTCACGTTCGTTGGAACTTTAGTTTGACTCTCAACAATGTGTTGTACGTCTCGGAGATACGCAAAAACTTGATCTCGGGCTCTTTGTTGAACAAGCATGGGTTCTGCATGGTCTTTGAGTCGGACAAACTAGTTTTGTCCAAATCGGGAATGTATGTGGGGAAGGGGTATGCAGTTGATGGGCTGTTTAAGCTCAATGTAATGACTATTATTAATAATAATAATAAAATCTCTTCTACTTACTTGCTTGAGTCTTCCAATGTGTGGCATGGTAGACTAGGACATGTTAATTTTAATTCTATACGTAGATTAATTAACATGGAACACATTCCTAAATTCACAATTGATGTGAATCACAAATCTGGAGTTTGTGTAGAGGCAAAACTAGCGAAAACGTCTTTCATAGTACAATTAAAAAATAGTGACGTTTGTGATTTTAAATCAATACAAACACGTGACGGTAATATATATTTTATTACTTTTATCGATGATAGCACTCGCTATAGCTATGTTTATTTATTAAAAAATAAACACGAAGCAATCGATAAATTCATTCTTTATAAGAATGAAGTGGAAAACCAACTTAATTGACGGATTAAAATGGTTAGAAGTGATCGAGGTGGTGAGTATGAAGCACCAATTGGTGACTTTTGCGCGAGCGTGGGTATAGTACATGAACGTTCCGCACCCTATTCACCCCAATCAAATGGTGTTGCCGAACGAAAGAATCGCACATTGAAAGATATGATGAACGCGATGCTAGTAAGTTCGGGCTTGCCACAAAATATGTGGGGCGAAGCAGTCTTGTCAAGCAATTACCTTTTAAATAAGGTTCCCCGGAAAAAATATGATAAAACTCCGTACGAGTTGTGAAAAGGCAGACGGTCTTCCTATCAATATTTAAAAGTGTGGGGGTGTTTGGCAAAAGTGCTTGTACCAACACCTAAGAAAATAAAAATAGGTCCAAAAACGGTGGATTGTATTTTTATTGGATATGCACAAAATAGTAGTGCTTATCGGTTTTTAGTGTACGATTCGAATAATCCGGATGTACATGAAAACACTATAATTGAATCAAGGAATGCCTCATTCTTTGAAGATGTATTTCCATGTAAGTCCAACGAAGGACCTAGCACGTCAAAACGAACATTTGACGTAGCTATGGAAAATACTAGCGAGGGATCCGGTGAAGAACCCGAACCCCGACGTAGCAAACGTGCTAGAGTAGAAAAATCCTTCGGACCGGATTTTCTCACATACCTGGTAGAATTCGATTCGAATATTCTAACTTGTATGGTAGAAAATGAACCGGATTTTCTAACATGTTTGGTAGAAAATGAGCCACGGACTTATACGGAAGCCGTAACGTCTACCGAAGGACCGATGTGGAAAGAAGCCATCAAAAGTGAGGTGGACTCTATCCTAAAAAATCACACGTGGGAACTGGTTGATCTCCCTCCGGGATGTAAACCTTTGGGATCCAAGTGGATTTTTAAACGTAAAATGAAACCAGACGGTTCCATTGATAAGTATAAGGCCAGACTTGTAATCAAGGGATACAAGCAACGCGAGGGCCATGATTACTTTGACACGTATTCTCCTGTGACGAG